AACCTGGCCTTGAACACTGCCAGGGATGGGGCAGCCACAGCTTCTCTGGGCACCCTGTGCCAGCGCCTCAGCACCCTCACAGGGAAGAGCTTCTTCCTAATATCTCATCTCAATCTCCCCTCTGGCAGGTTCAAGCCATTCCCCTTGTCCTGTCCCTCCATCCCTTGTCCAAAGCCCCTCTCCAGGTTTCCTGGAGCCCCTTTAGGCCCTGGAGCTGCTCTGAGGTGTCCCCTTCAGGAGCCTTCTCTTCTCCAGCTGCCCCAGCCCAGCTCTCTCAGCCTGGCTCCAGAGCAGAGCTGCTCCAGCCCTCGCAGCAGCTCCGGGGCCTCCTCTGGCCTCGCTCCAGCAGCTCCACGTCCCTCTTGTGTTGGAGGCAGATACTGAAGTCAGAAGCATTTGGACACCTCAGAGGACAACCAAAGCCTGGCCCAAAGGTCCAGGGGAATGACAGCTACGTCACATGTCAACGGAACATATTTCACGTCATGGCCATTGACGCAGAGCCGCTGTGGTGTTCAGTACCCTCAGGAGAGCTGCTGCTTCCAAGTAATGCTTTCAATTCTTGTTTTTAAAGGAATTCACAAACCTTAATAAGACCAAAAGAAGTGCTTAAAAACAGGCGTGTCATTTAAAAGGCTATTTCAGCATCTGTTACCACTTAATTGGCTTGCCTGCTCACAGTAGGAGCATCCAGTCTATCTTCTGCAAGCCTCATCTGCGTATGCTAAATCCAAACACCACCCAACTGAATCACATTAGAAGTATGTGAGCACATAAATATCTCTCTAACTGAATCGGTAACCTATGAGATGCCACATAAATAAATACTAACATGTAATTCATTCAAAAGGTTTTCTCTTCTTTTTAAGGAATACTTGTTAAATAGGATGGAAATGAAAAGTCTTTGACTTCTGCCTTAACAGCTGAAGGGTGCATTGACAAATCCTCCTCCGGCACTAGGTAAGACACTCCAGTCACACAGCTCTGCTGCCATCCGCCCTCCTCAAAGGCTGAACACAACGAGCTCCTGCCTGCCTGCACCTTACTACTGAGACAGACCCTTAGAAACCCTTGTGAGGCCTTTGGGGCTTTCTTCCTGCTTCACATCTTGGCTAGATCTAAGAATATTGATCCTTCACCCACCACAAAGCAGGTGGAGGGGAGACAAGGGGATTATATAAATCCCTAAGAAAAAGGATGGCTCCCTGTGCACCAGTTTGTATGTCTCTACCTGTTGGCATCCCTGGAGCATCACAGGAAAGGGATGTTTCGATTAACATGTGCCACAGTAAACCTAACCAATATATTGATGTTTGGTAGGTTGTAAGCACTGGACGAGGCTTGGAGCAACCTGCTCTAGTGGAAGGAGTCCCTGCCCATGGCAGGGGGTTGGAACTGGAGGAGCTTTAAGGTCCTTCCCAGCCCGAAGCAGTCTGGGATTCTCTGACTCTAGCTAGTACCTCTAGCTCAACCACCCTGAGCTGCAACTCACTAAACAGGAAAGGTAATTTCCTCACTTTACTAAAGTTCAAGTTTTCTAACATCCGGCAGGACCCGACACTGTGTGAAGAGCTGGAGAACTCATAAAGGTTGTTCTTGATTGTAGAGCTGGTGAGTTGGAGTAATTGTGGATTAAAGATGACAGCAAAGACCTCTACTCAGAGAAATACTGCGACCATCACGGAAGACACATAACTGAGTCACACTGAAACCCTCTGAAAAATGCATTTTGGTCACGTAGAGCACAGTCAAACCCTGGTTCTCTCTCTGCTCTAGCCAGTAAACACATCAGCTCCATTCCCCACATCTCCAGCAATTGTGAAAAAAGGTGGCACAGGCTGAATCATAACGATAAGCCTAGTACCACTTACCCATACCAGAAGCGAGGGTCACTGGATATACAGTGGTTGAGATTCCGGTGTGCCAAGGCTTTCTTCTTATTTAAGACAAATTCTTGTAATTTCATCTTGACTTCTGTGCTTGCCACTGCACCTGAAATGGCAAAACATTAAAAAAAAAGGCCATTTAATCAACTGACATATTTGAAAGAATGGAAATTTCTGTAACAATTCACAATTCAATCTTTGATTTCTAGTCCAAAAGCAGAACTTTTTATGTCAGAGAGGAAAAGAACAAAGCGCCTCCAATAAGGAGCTCTCTTCTTTTTAGCTCTTTGCCTTTCGGTTTGCATATCATCACAACTTTCTGTTTGAAAACAGAGATTTCACCCCAGATCTCTCATTTCACTATAAAGGAGTTCTGAAGAGGATTTGACACGTGCAGGGAAGCGCGCTCAGGATAAAGCCCTCGTCCCGAGGTATTTCCAGCTTGCTTTTCATCAAAGGTAGTTAAGAGAAAGGGTCTTGTGTACACTCAACTTTGTAAATGTCACATCTGCAAGCAGAAGGGGAATGAGACGAATGCCTCATGTGGGGACTTGGGCTTGAAAACTCTTGTAAATAGGGACCTCTTTGTTCGGAAGTATCTGCGGACAATAAGACCTACATAATATTCCGATTCATTTACAAGTGTGCAATCTCCTTCTTCAAATAGCAAAATCTCACAGTTAAAAGAAGAAAGTCAGGAATGTGGCAGCGCAGAGTTAAAATGTCAACTGTGTAATTTCTAATCATTATTTCCTCCATAATAGAAACCGGTTTGTTTTACTGCCATGATGGATTCAAACTATCATTTGCTTGACAGAAGAGATTCGCAGGCAGGGAGTTCCTAATGGAGTAATGCATAGGAAGTTTGGCAAGCAGAACATGTGGAAAATGATGGTTCATCTATACCGTGGCGTAAAGCAAGAATTCCAAAGGAAAGTATCCTGGCTACAAGGAAAAGGCCAGAAAAACTGTCTGCTCTCCTGGGAATAAGAACTTCAGCTACAGCAGGGTGATCTTTTGCCTCCTGGATCCCACTCAACAACGTGGTGCCATTTGATGGACTCTTTGTATGTCTCCAAGAGGAGAAAACTGCACTGTTTTTCCACAGCTCTGCCTGAAGATGTAATCATGCTCAACTGTGTTTAAAAGCTTGAAAACTCACCTTTTTGGAGCCCTGCCTTTCTCACTACATCTACAAACATAGGTATGGTGTGTAACCCAATGGGAAGTTCCACTGGAGAGCTGGAGGTAAGTTCATATGAGTGTAGCAAGCCACATGGCTAGAGCAGAAGAGGTGATAAAGTCATGCTTAAAGGCCTTATCTCTCCAAAAAGTGTCATCATTCATCTATTGATTCAACTAATCAAACATAGCTGCATTCCATCAGTTTGGGATAAATCTGACATGATTTAGAGGATCTGAAATGAAACACTTTTCAATGCTGAGGTTTACAATAGCTCCCTGGCATGTCTTCCTCTGGAATTAGAAGCTGAAAGGCCCCATAACAAGATAAAAACCTACAGGCTTCCCCTTCCCTGGGCAATGCTGGAGCCATGGACCAAGCCGTCATGAAAGACCTTCTGACCATTACTCAGCTCTTGAACTTTGAGCTGAAAGAGCAAAAGTAAAAAAACCCCAAAACCAACAATGTAACTCACTTTAAATGTACTAGACTGGGTTATTTTGGACCCAGTCACATAAGCACTGTGCAACATCCAGTAAAGATGTTAAAGAGGACTCTAAGGGCGGAAAGAGACAACCCGTCACATACGCAATAGGGGTATAAGCAAAGAGGACAAGAGAAGAAGTCATCCACCAAAAGCCCATATGTATGGATTAAGTCCATAGGCAAGAAGCAAGACGCTCAATCCCAATGGAAGCAAAAGGCATGGCAGGGTCAAAGAAGGAGGAAAGAGAAAGAATTGGAGAGCAAGAGCCCACGCAGCAGCCCTGGCAAGGGAAGCAGCTTTGCACGTGGGGAAAACCAAGCTGTGAAGCTGGCCTGCTCCTTTTGGAGGGTCTGAGTGTGTAAGAGGAGCAGGGAGCAAAGAGCAGATCAACTGATAAGACTGCAAACAAGTGAGAGCCACAAGGAGCAAAGTACTGCAGGCACAATAGCTCTGAAGAGCCCCAAAGATGTATTTGGATATATCCAAATATAGCGTATCCAAATCTAGGATAAGGCAGGATTGGTGGGAAGAGAAGAAGGGAGGGCAGAAGCAGGACCAGGCTCTTGTGGAAGGAGGAGGTTGCACAACGCAAGAGCAGAGGAGCAGAACCCTTAACTGATGGTGTGGGCTTGTCACATCTTACAAGGAAGTCCAAGACAAGCCACAGTCCAAGACTGTCCGAGCAACAAGGGATGGAATGGTCCATGCCCAGAAGTGCCTGGAAACACTGATGCACAGACAGGTTGTAGGTGCAATGTGAGCAGTGGAAAGGCAGGACGACCACGTATCGCTCCTTATCCTGCATGAAAACTACCTTTACTTTCACAGACATTTTCCTTCCTCTAATGGAAATCATGCTTTTGATCCAAAGCTTTCTGACAGCAGATATCAGTGTCAGGTGAAGGCTCACAAGATGGGAATGCAACAAGCTGATATTGGCTTAATCTAAATAGGTTTGTGATTTGCTTCTAAAAGGTACAAGCCAACTACATTTGGGCTTACAGTGATGGGGGGAAGAGGAAAATAAACTACACCCATCTTCGTATTTCAGATCAGGACAATTTTAGCTGTGTTGCACTTAGCAAAATTCTCTGATGTGAGAAAAAGCAGTATTCTGAAGAGCTGAGGTGCTATAATGATTATACACCATAGAACTTCTTCAATAAAGAGTAACTTAAAAATAAAACTGTAGCCATGGGAACAGGATCTTCAACTTGCCATCCCCAAAATCTGTTCTTTACTCTACACCTATGTGTTTCAGCCAAAAGGTGCTTTGATGCCTTTGAAGCTTATAGAGATTCAGGCATTTTGCTATATATTCAAATGCCTTTAAGGAGAAGAGCCAGATACGAGTATTACAGAAGTGCCCAGCAAAACACTGATGCAGTATCAACAGCTGATGATAAAACAGCAGGGTGAAGTGGAAATGCTTATAGCTTCCATCCACCCCGAACCCACTGCCTTTACTTTGGACAATAACATAAAGCAGCCACAGGAAAACAGAAAGCATCAGACCTGGCAGTCAACCAGGCACCAGAGCAGCAAACCTGCATTAGCATCCCTTTTACTCACTCCTGAATGTTAAACTGCTTCTTTTAAATACATTCAGATCCTTTGGTCTTTTCTAGTATCTAAAAGGAAAGAAAACCAAACCAAACGCACAAAACATGTTGGACCTCCTATGAAATGCTTTATAAAGATGCTGGGGGAGGTCTGTGTGTTCTCTCGTTTTGGCTGCAGCTTAAAGCCTGCTGCTACAAGATGCACATGCAGGGAGCGGGGAATTCAACCTGCAGATAGTGCATTATTTAGTCTCCTAGACACCAGTCGTCTCATAGAATCCCAGCCTGGTTTGGGTTGAAGGGAGCTTAAAGCTCCTCCAGCTCCAACCCCTGCCACGGGCAGGGACACCTTCCACTAGAGCAGGTTGCTCCAAGCCCCTGTGTCCAACCTGGCCTTGAACACTGCCAGGGATGGGGCAGCCACAGCTCCTCTGGGCACCCTGGGCCAGCGCCTCAGCACCCTCACAGGGAAGAGCTTCTGCCCAAGAGCTCATCTCAATCTCCCCTCTGGCAGGTTCAAGCCATTCCCCTTGTCCTGTCCCTCCATCCCTTCTCCAAAGCCCCTCTCCAGGTTTCCTGGAGCCCCTTTAGGCACTGGAGCTGCTCTAAGGACTCCCCAGAGCACAGCAGAGGGGCAGGATCCTCTCCCTGACCTGCTGCTCATCCACATTTTGACGCTTTTTCCTACTAGTTAAATTCTTCTTGGCCCTTTATCTCATTCCTGGTTCCCAGACAGCACCCCATCTCCTTCAGCCCTCTGTGCTTCTTCCGTCACAGGCTTCTTTATTGCATTTGAACTGAAGACCTAACGAGTTGATAGTACAACTTGGTGAGGTATTTTTCCTCCCATTCACTTCCAAAAGAAAACCAAACAAGCAACCAAAGTGCCTTTGATAAGGGGAAATTGTGAGGCCATAATCATTCTACTGAATCTTGTCAAGTGCATAATGACACGTGGGAAAGCCAACCACAATCTGTAACCTCATGAAAGAAGCACTTTCTGAATGAAAACACTTTAAAAAGCGAAGAACTGAGAACTCGGCTCCATCTTAAAAGAGGGGAATTAAAAAAAGTGAAAGAAGAAGAAATGCAGTGTGCATCTGGTGTATTTTATGGGCTTAATATTCTGCCTCCATTAGGAATGCTGCCAAAAATACTTCAAAAAATGTTAAATCAAGTAAAGAGATGATAGGCTTCCTTTTGAAAAACGCTCAAATGGCATTTACTAAGACAAAAATGAAGATAAAGCAGAGAAATACATTTCTCTCCACACTCAATACTTCAGTTTACGTAAGCTCCCTGCGCAGCCGAGCTCTGGAGGGAGGCCATCAGGAAGGTTTCTCCAGCTTTATAAAGCTGCATTATGGCTTCCATTCATCTGCTCTACCTGTCAGCGCTGACACAGGTGAGATTTCTGCTACTTACTCTCTTTTCCTTTCTCTTTGTTTTTTAGCTGCTGAAGTTTCTGCTCTCGGTGCTGCTTCTCCAGCTCCTGCTCCTGTCGGTGCTGCTCCAACTTCCTCTGGTGCTCCAGCAGCTCCTGCTGATGCTTCATGGCCAGCATCTCCTGCTGCTGCTGTGGAGAAGGAATGAGAGGAAGAAGGGTAAATTAACACTGCCAGTGTTCCCAGAGCTAGACCAGAAGCTGCTGTCAGGTGACAATAACATTGCTTAATTCATCAAAACAGGAAGAACAGTGTTCTCCTTGTCTAGAGGCTCCTGCACCATGACTCACTTCATGTAACCCCTATTTCAGGGGTATGCTAAGTGATAGGACTCCATGCTCCAGGCTTCAGGGCATGGCCTGTTTACAAGCACAAGCATCCTGTTCAGAAAGCACCTCATTTGAGAAAGTGACAAAAAGCTTCTACCCAAAAGAGGGGAGACTGAGATGAGCTCTTGGGCAGAAGCTCTTCCCTGTGAGGGTGCTGAGGCGCTGGCACAGGGTGCCCAGAGAAGCTGGGGCTGCCCCATCCCTGGCAGTGTTCAAGGCCAGGTTGGACACAGGGGCTTGGAGCAACCTGCTCTAGTGGAAGGTGTCCCTGCCCGGGGCAGGCGTTGGAGCTGGAGGAGCTTTAGGGTCCCTTCCAACACAAACCATCCTATGTGAAGGAGCGTGCCTGAGCTCACCAAGTCAAGCACTCGCAGCAAAATACACCCTTATGAACATGGGCTTTGCAAGACCAGTTCCCTTGTGCCTTTTTGAATAAGCCTCTGATTATATGACTTTGGACTCTGGTTTCTCAACAGTTCTTCACCCTCTCTGTATACAGAGAAGAGTTCCCATGGGCTGGGACACCTCTATCTTTCTAACTTCATCAAACACCCGTTACTTTCCATCTGCTGCACAAACCTCATACCCCAAGCTAAATGCAAAAGGACTAGTTGCCTTGTGGGCATGATCACCACCTGCTTCTGAGCTTAATTATAAAAGAATTGCTTCAAGATATGTATAAAAACCAACCTTCCAATAACCCCAGAGTGCTCCAGGTTCACAAAATCCTGTCTGTGGGAAGGGCTCATGGCTATGGCGACAGGGAACCCACTAAGAACAGGTCTCACTCCATCCTTCTCCAAACCCTGACAGCATGTGCACACACACTGAATGTACACTGAGATCTCCTATTGTACATTTGTACTACCCCAGCATTGCAAGCTGGGGATACATTATAGACCATACACATCAAATTGAACCATTCTATATAAAGATGCAAAGAAATAAATGTAAAGAGGTACTTTCCAATCTGCCTGGCTATCTGCTGGCACCTCTTGATGGAGGAGTCCCTGCTGCTGCCAGTTCCAAGCAGGCAGACTGTTGTAAAACACCCAGCCCCAGTTATAGCAGGATTTGCAATGATTGCACCTATGCTTCCCTTCCTCATCCTATGGAATTCTACGTAAACAGCAAAAAAACACCAACCCCAGACTCTAAAAACCTACAGAAGAAAAACAACAAAAACCCCACCAATCCTTGAGAAAAGTAGTTATTTTTGTTTCATAATTAAGCAGCAGCTTCTACTAACACATCCCCATTTGGAGCAAGAGTATCTTTTCAGGCTTCCAACAAGTCCACCACATGGTGGGCTTTTATAACCTAGCCATAGAAAGTATGCAAATGAACAATATTTAATGCACAATATGTTAAAACAGGTTTTGTTATTTTTATGAAATCAGGAGCCTTTTCTCTCCATCTGCAGTCTCCTAGGCTCTGCGTGCTCCGCTTCCTGCAATGGTTTACATACATTAGGATGCCTTAGAAGGAACTGTGCATTCATTGACATCTGTAGTGAAATGTAAATGAAAGACCAATTTGTATCTGGATGGCTTACAGAGGTTTCATTAGAGATGTATTGTTCCTGCACAGTTGCCACAAAGCCTATTCTTAATATAGTTTTCCAATCTTTTCAAAGTTGGAAAAATAAATAATCATGAAGCAACCTCTCCAATCATCTCCATGAAAAAGGGAAAGAAATCACTTTGTTGGTGTCTGCTGTAGCCTTAGAAAATGACTCAAGAAAACCCATCCGGGTGCTCTGTCTGAACTGGGATGTCTTCTTCCAGCATGAACACTTCTCCACGCCCAGGGCTGAAAACAAACCACACAGACAGTATTTGATAGGAAATACGTGGCGCAGGCTCAGTACAATTCAGGGGCACAGGCAATGTGGTGCCTTTACCAGCTCCAATGACAGACCACATCCAGGCTCCACAACCACCACAAGGACCTCTGATAAGGATTTGGGGTGCTGACCCAAGGTGAGCACCCCAAATCCTTCTCATTGCTCAGCCACATCATTGCACTGCTCTACTGATACCCATCTTGTTCTAATAAAGCCAGAGGGAATATAACTATCACATTAAATCACTCTGTGCAAAAAGGCCCTTCTTAGCTTTAAAACCAGACTATGCCCCTGTTTTATATTTTGGGGGGGTTCCAATTTAATTTTCTCATGTAAAAACAAGGTTTTCTGCTGATGCTTTGTGAAAAAAGGACCCATAAGCCATAAGAATACCCACCACCACCAACCAACTAACAGGAGAGGCAGGAAAACTGAGTACACACAAAAAGCTGTCCCGGGCACAAAATAAACTGAAACTTCAGAAGAAGATGAGATTCTCCTTCAGCTAAAGCAATCAAGGTACATTTTAACAGTGACCATTCAGCCCCATGTGCGGCCAACTGCAGCACAGTCATACCCTCCTCCAGCACCATGCGCTAAGCTGCTTCTGCCAAGGTAATACCCACATGTTGTGGGCTGTGCCTGGCACTGAAACTTCCCATTCCCAACGGTAATGCCATTGAAATACCCGTGAGATACGAAGTGGTATGCCAAGGGAAATCCCTTTGCATCCAGCCTCATGCAGCTATCAGTTGGAGGAGCACAGTGTGTGGCAGCCAGGCACACTGCATTAGGGAGTGCAGCACGGTACATCTGAATTAGGTGCTCTTGCCAAAGTAAATGTTTGTCAATATTTGTAACTATGGGGATTCCTGCATATGTTTAATGTCACTGCTTCCACTATTTATGAAAACTGCACAAATGCTCAACTGTACCTGGAGTTAGTGTTGCTGGTGCTCCTTTAGCATATATTAATATTAATCAATGCAGCCAGGAGAACACAGAGCATTCCCAACGCTCGGCTAGCCGTGAGGACTTGGGGCTGCGGTGGATTTTGCCATCACATTCATCAGTTGTCTTCAGCATGTCAACCTAGAACTGGGACTGACACCTTACCAGCAACCCCACCGTCAGCTTCCACTGCACAAAGCAACCTCTTTGTAAGCAAAGAGGAGCTAAACCAGTCTCCTTGAGTTGTTACAACAGAAGTGGTAACGCTCCCAAATCTTCCAGCAGCCTCAGCCCTGAAGCCAGCCAGCGGCCTCCGGGGAAGCGTGTGGTGCTGACAGCAAAGATCCCATTTACCAGAGGGAATGAGGACGTGTTTCATGAAGACATGTTACATTAAGGCTTCCAAAACGACTCCTCAATTTGCTAAATGAGTAGCAAGAATGTGAGTCCTTCCTGCATCCCAGAACCTTTCAGACACTACCTTATTCTTCCCCTAGAAGCCAGGTACTGCTCTCTGCCCAAGCTCCTCTGCTGCTTGTTTCCCACACAACCATCACTTTAAAGGTGCATTTGTCATTTCCTTTCACAAAATTGACTAAAATCTGCAAAGCAGGAGAGGTTTTGAAGCTCACACTATGGCTCCTAGGGGTTTTTTATATATATATGTATTTGAATAGCTTACTATAATTAATGGAAAGCAGTGTAAAACTATCTGTACCCAGACAGCTCACCCTTACTCATGCAGGTAATCACAGTTGCAAGCCTGGCTGACCAACAGTTGGCACACTTATTGCTGATTGGGTTGCAGGCTGAGGACTTCTTTGTACAACTACTTCCCCTGCCACCTCTGAACAAGAGCTTGGCCTCTGATGGAGGCAATAGCTTTAAGGAAGTTGTAAGGATGTGGAAGTAAAATACTACCTTCAAACCCAACAACTTAGTGCTAGACAAGACCAAAACCAACCCCAAAAAGCAGATCTTTGAACTTGTCATCTTAAAGTCAAGTTAACTTGTCCTCTTAAAGTCAAGGGTTGAGGCATGACCCAGAAAACACTTTCAGAAGCTAAGCTGGTTTCAGCTCCTTTCATTGAAGCTTAATTCTTCATGTAATTCTTCCTATCACTGTCCTCGCCCTCAGCAGCCAGCAAGGTTGGGGGTTTGGTGTAAACAGTGGATTTTAGGGCAAATCATCTGCCACGTGCTTTGGCAAAACTCTACAGCTTTGGGGGGGGTTAAATCTGGTATTTAACATGATTGAGAAAGAAGCTGCCAAGACATGTGCACATCAAAACACCCCCCGAAAAATCACCAGCGATGGGTGGAAGCAAAGCAGGGATGTCAGCTTGGTGGGAGAAGTGTTGTATTGGGTGATTTCAGAGCGATCTCTACACTGGCCATTCCTCTGGCCAGACTCTCTGCTTCATGTTCTCCCCATCCTGTTTACTCAAGTCTCAAGCTGTGGCTCCAGTTTCAGGATTCACTCCCTTGGCTCCATCCCCGGCGTGTTTCAGATAACTCCTGGAGCACCAGAGGCCGCTCAGAATGACGTGTACTGGGAGGTGGGAGAGGGGGAAACAACGTTGTGGCTTCCAGCAGAAGCCAAGACACAAGAATCTGAAAGCCCAGCTGAGCAGAACAAATGCCTATCATCTCTTCTCTTGGACACAGCAGCAGCTGAACATAGGTCTGGCGTGCCCCCTTCCAGCTATCAGGCAGCATCCCTTTGCTACACAAGGAAACAGGCCTGCCCAGCAGACAGCTTCCCGGGCAGGAGACTGATCCTGCTTAGACATATCCTACTGAGAATGTCTGGTGTTCAAGTTTATGAGGCTCAAATGTCTCCAGGAACGGGAACAAGGGTTGTGTTCCCTGACTGCCAGCTCTAGGTGACAAGATCCCACGCTATTAGTTTGGCAGCTTACATATGGATATATAATTTCATATCACTGTTTCTTTTCCCTGCCATTACTGCTCACTTCCCCTAAAAGGCTGGAAGCTCACACAG